TTTAATGACTTTCTTGATAATGTTCACAGAGTATAAACTGGTCTCGACATGAGGGAAATATAGTGCAGGAGCATTCATCCAAAATTCGGGTAGGGAGAGAGACACCGCACTGCTAGGGGATGAACAAACCGATATATCGCTGAGTGCTGTGCGTCTTCCTATGGGAAGCATGTTTTGTTCGGTTATTGGTTGCTTTACCGAAACCATTAATGAAGAAAAGGCAACCAAAAATCTCATAAAAAACCGAAAAACTAGGTTCGATTTATGAATAAACGCACAATAATCCCTTTCTGACGCCTAGTTGGTTGCAAATTTGGGCCCGCGTGAAAACAGTATGTGAAAATAAGAATAGAATTGTAAAAAAAATAAGAGAAAACCAACAACAAACTATGAACAAACAACGGTAAAAATAAGTAAAACAGTAGTAAACAAGAGTAGAGACAGTCGCCATACGGCTATCTAATTCGATTTTATGCGCGCAGAAGGCGTTTTTACAGGCACTAAGGCTCCCGTGGCCGAAGATCTACCTTACTTCCACCCACATGCTTCCTTCCACGGCGCGAGACAGTGCTGAGATAGCGACAGACGCCGTCGCGAGACAATGACACCTTGCGTCCTCACGCCTCCCAACGCAACGTGAGACAGGGACGTCGGAGCGACATCAACTAATTGCGGGACCCCTTCCTCCCCTCCACCCTCTCTGGTCTCTTATTATGACTAGAATCTGATCCCTCTTAACACCCCTTCCTCTTTCCCCGTAATTTTTAGTGGTTGGTTGCTTAGAATTTTTTTAATCTACCTTGCCTTATATCATTTTATTTGCCTGATTATGACTAATCGAAAGCTTTCGTTCGCCTAATTTGACTCCCTGAAGAGTATAAGGCAATGAAGAATGATACCATAAGAAAATATAATAGAAGAGAACGATAAATAAAACAATAAAATAAAAACAACAGAAAAAAACAATGAATAAAGCAATAGTAGTTAACAGTAAAAGCAAGGAACGGTAATATAGTAATCGAAATAATATGTATAAAACAATAAGGAACGAACGGATCTCGGCGGTCTGTTCGATTCTTCATTCCCACTGCTAGCATCATCCGTCGTAGTTATGGCAGGAAGTGACTGAAAATGCACACGAGGAGAGAACCAATATGGCAGTGCACCATGATTGGCTGGCTTATAGACGAGTGAAGAAACGTGTGAGAAAGGCTACGCGCGTCCTCCTTTGGGGTCCCCACTTTAGCGAGTCTCCACGATCTAAAGTGCAATCCCACACTAAGAACAAGGCAAGATAGCCACGATATAGCGAAATCAGCTGCCACAACCGACCAAACTTGAAGGAAGGCAGTGTGTGAAATATCAGCTATGGATACTGTAATTAACACCAGTCCTGTGCCTAACAGTTAATACTCAAAATTTTAAAAAAATAGCGATAAATGTAAGTTAAAGAAATGCCTAACAAACAGAATCAGTATAGAAAATGGTGTAAAAATAAAAGTATGACAGAGTCGTTGATAAATGAATGTACGGTAAAGGGCTAGCACAAGTCATCGCTGTGTTCACCTCATAGGACAGCGGGGAACGCCGTGACCTGCAACGGTCAAACTAAAGAGGTATTAGAGTTTAAGGGCCACCAAGGTCATATTTGTGGGATTTTTATCTGATTTGATAGGACGTGCGACCAGTACCGGTGGCTCACAATGGCAAAATATGTACAACAAGCAGGCCTCATCAATGTATATTTTT